TATCATTGTTTTATGCATAATTCTACTATTAGTACTTTTGCTCTTGAATTTCTTACCTACAGCTGCATCCTGCTACATTCCTTCGCGCGCGACGCCCCTCTCACCGCGACGCGACCATTTCATTCCTAACGCACCACACCCCTATTTCCGCGCTCGACTGGCCCCCACCGGTGTGTGGCACTGTCCCAGGAGGAAATTCTTTCACTGGCTCACTGAATTTAGCAGTTAGAAGGAAACAAGAAAGTATGGTGGCACCTAAATTGGGTTTATCATCCCATGCGCTAGTCACACTGGCACCCACCGATGGGTGCAATTGTCGTCAAAGGGTTAAACTTCCAACTGGACCTTACTTAAAATTAAAGGAAACTTACATTACATCGAAACCGTGGGAAACTTACATTACATCGAAACCGTGCGGCTCCGAAGCGAGCCACAAACCCCGATCGAAGATCTTTCGCAGTCGGAATGACATCCGTCATCAGAGAGCCAACAATTCCAACTACAACAATATTTCGATTGATTTGTGCCATTTTACATAGGATCTGCGTTCAATTTAACAAATATTCAAAAAACAAGAGCTTATTTGTAAAGTCCCACTCACTGAAAAAGAAAGCATACAGGGAGATTGTGAATACGAGGAATGGCCATATTAATTGAAACCTAAAGTAGGACAGATGCTCATTGTTGTCGTCGACAAAACCGCTCTTAAGTAATCGATTCTCCTGCTTCGTCTTTGGTACCTCAAAAGGACGGATTGATTTTTGGAACAAATTGATTTTTTCTGTGCTGTAAGGAAAATTCTATAAACAGGTGAGATTCTGTGAATATTGAAATAAAAAAAAAACAAAAAAATGTTTATCGAGTCTTCGGAACCGAAGCCTGCCCTAAAGCAGGTTGGAGGTGTTCTGGACAGAAATGAAATGAGCTCATGATGGTCCACAAACATCTCTACGGTAGCGAGAGACTGAATCATCTCGCGACTGATACCAGGTAGGGGGTATCATCTTTGTCATGTCCTGCCTGAGCCAGTCACGATAGTTGAGGTTAGCCGAGAAGTCGGTGAAAAAAGGACTCAACGCAGTCATCCTTACGAGGTCTGTTGTCTGTAACAGACGGGAAGAGATGTTTAGAAAAGTCTCATTTATGAAACTAGTGCCTGCTAAGGAATGTGTCAAGTTACAGACAGGACTGTGGAAAACCATGCAGATCTCGCCTCAAGAAAGTCCATTTATTTTCGCCGTACTACTCCGGCCGTCGATCTTTTCAGGACACATTCAGACCTCAACTGCTGAACTGCTCACAGTTTGATTCGACGTTATCCAGAACCGGTAGCAGACAGGATAGTCTCGAATCAATGTTCAGGTTTGTTTTAATCGCCTTCTCGCCACTTTAGTATTCTCATACATTCGAAAGACCGGATGCAGTGGGAAACTTTTTGGCAGATATCTGGGATTGCAGTACTGGCATGCTTTTCCTATCTGAACGTATAGAAAAGGCATGCCAGTACTGCAATACCACATATTTGTTCAGTTACTGGTACGTCTGATACTTGACAAAGAAGGCCATTCAATATACAGAAATTCTAAGTTTAGTACTATAGTAGGTTTCACATTTTTGTGACTCAGGAACAGATGTTCCCATCAATTTGTACTCAGTTGCGGGAAATCTGGTTCCAAACAAAACAGGTCTATATGTACTGTACTGTCAAACTATCTACTAGGGAGTTCTGTGAGGATCCGCCCTTTAGAAGATTTTCAGAAGTCGTTGCCGGACAAAGGGATATTGAACCGATCTCTAACCTGAATGATAGGTCGCACTTCGGAATAACTCGGAGGTGGCGGAGGAACATCCATAATGGCGTCTCTATAAGTAATTGGATGAGGGCTAAGAAATGAAGAAACAAAACAATAAGAGGAACTTGACGGTCAATTAGGCTATGCGAGGTGCCACGAGAGTGGAAGCACATGGTGAAGCAGGAAAACGACTACTGAATAGTAATCACGATCACAAAATAAGTATATCCAGCCTGCGATATAACTGCGATTATTCTAAAGTGTTTTGAATGAAAATAAGAAAATTCTTCAAAGAAGAGTTTAGTTAATCATAGCATCTAAGATGTGCCTGTGACAAGAATGGATCAAAAGCATGGTTCTTGGACGTCTCATGGGGACATTGTTCACCTCTGACCCAAATTTCTCTCGGTTTTTGAATAATGAGATGCTTCCAGTGATTGATGCGATGAAAAGCATGAACATATCAGGGAATTTCATTGCATCCACGTGCTGTTCGAGTCCTATATGTCTTTTGAACAGCCAGATGTAGTAGTGGTAAAATATGATGGGTGAGAAACAACCCATCACTTTTGATCCTGTGGTTACAACATCTGACTACTCGAGGAACATCATAACTGCTCTACTCAGACTCTGTTTCAGCAGGGTATTCACGGTAAATCACGAAGAACATTATATGTATAATTATCCACCCCACAACTTCCATCTCAGTTCCGGAGGTAGTGACAAGGGAAGCGCGATCACTTGCACAATTGCGCGAATCAATGCGTGGGAAATAAGTAAAAAAAAAGTTGCGAATCAATCACTCCGAATATATATTTTACTGCCTTTACAGCCTGATCTTGTGAAATGCCCATAACTTTTTAAGGAGAATCATTTTGCAATTTTAATTTCCATTTTCGTAAACAGCATTCAGAACTCTATCGATTTATCTGGGTCTCAATTCAAAGTTCCAAGATAAGTAGACTACCCCTCCCTGGTAAGCCCTCCATTCCTCCGGGGTCCATTGATCGCACGCGTCTGGGAGGATACAGCTACTGAATTACACATCGGCTAGCCACTGTGTAGGTCACATACGCATTCATACTGCCGCTACGATTCTGAAGTGAGTCGAATGCAGGGCGCATCTCTTGGACGGATGAATCAACACCCGAAGGTTTTATACCTATTGAGACTTTTTGATCTCTTGATATGTAATCATATGAGTTGCAGCTACACTTGATCCGATTATGAATTCAAAGGGGAATCCTTTGAGGTGCACTACTACCAGAAGTTGACTAGCCGCATGAGCGAGTTGGTCAGTTCCCAACCTCTACCGGGTAGCAAATCTGCTATTGCGCCCGTTCGCCGATCATCTTTATAAGGAATCGTTGCGCTTTGATAAAAATAATCGATTAGATTGAGCAAATCATCACAGGCATTCCTATTGATGGATAGTAACTAAGAGCCTCCTGATCCCAGTTCCCCTTCCATCTTCATCCCCAGAGCAGACCATTTCCAGAAAATAGCTTAGAATATCTGTAGGATATATGAATCATGCAAAACAGGGTTAAGAATTTCGTTCCTCTTCAATTTAGCCTATTTATTTGTTTTCTATTTTTCAAGGGCCAAAAAAGCAAAGAATAATCCGGTTTCAAGCCGGTTTCATAAGCAACGCTCGCACGCTTTGGAGATTTCCAGTATATGGGTTGAACTTTTTTGGAGTTCATCCTTTTGCTGTACTGACGATGACTGTCTCGCTTCAGATTGCACCACCAAGCATAAGAAACTATTGAAATTCGAATCCTTATTCCATTTCACTACTGGGAAAGAGAATCAGAAATGAAGTACTGAATGAAATTCGCAGTTTTAGGTGAAGATGTCGTTGTAGTTAGTGTACGCAGCTAGGTTTCGAGTTTTCCAAACAAGGGGATTTTAACCAAGAGGGTCGTTGAAAACACCAAAATATTGAGAAATTGTATACAAATATTTGAAAAAAAATCTTAAAATCAGAAGAACAACCAATCTATTCATCTAAAGTCATCAAGATAGTTTCGCAACAATGGTCAGATATCAAGTTTTTCCCGGTACTCGTCCTGATACTTGAGTAAAACTATACAAATGTTGAAATCACATATCCTCCTTCTCTCAAAAAGGTATCACTTGTACACCGAAGAATACAGAAGCTCCCACTACCAGTAAAAGTTTTTGACAAAAAATCTTTTTTTTTTCTCCGAGTACAACAGCCTCTTGCTCCTAACCAGGCAGAGATTCGTTCGCAGTAGACAATCCCTTGAAGTCGTTAAACTCAGGTGAGTATACACTGGTGTACTTCTCACAAACCTTCTCGATTTGTTGGCACCAGTAGCAGCACAAAACAAATTATGGTTCGTGAGAAAAATATCCGAATCTGGTACGAGCTCAAATGGCCAGACAAAAATTGGTGCAAGCAGATTGACAATTAATAGATTGTTCAGCAAACCACACCTAGATTAGTTAGAGAACGTCCTAGAACCGGAACCCTACATCCAACGTCCTAGAAAACGTCCTAGAACCGGAACCCTATATCCAACCACTCTACAGTTAAATATGTCTATCCAAAGAAGGCTAAGTGTTAGATCTCTCGTGAGGCGAACTTCGTCGAGTAAAGCCAAAGAACATCCTTAATGGTGAATGACCCAAGAATATATAGAGGTGACAAGGAAGTTCAATGGACAGGATACAAGCCGCCGATAATGGGGCAATAAGCGGACAACTCAGTTTTCAGCGCGATTGCTTTCTTTCGAGAACGATTGAACCTACAACGTCATCAACGCTGGCTCAGAGATCACACAAATGGCTAATCGTCTGTGTTTGTTAAAATCTACTATTTAAAATTCATCATATTATGCCGTCTACGTGATTGCCACTACAGCTTGAAACAGCCGTTTATTCGCCCATCGGCTAGAGCTTAACGGCAATGATATGGGCAAAACAGCATAGGAAAATTCCTCAGAAGGAATCGGTAGGATAGCTGGAGTCATGACATCCTCCAAAAATATTTCACAGCTCCACCGGCACTTATTCTTTGTCTTGAGGAAGAGGGGAATATCCGTTGCCAAGGAAGAAGATCTAAAAGGAAAATCAGGGGCCGTAAATCTGCAGCTTGAAGGTGATCTCTGGCTATCATATCAAGTGGTGCACATCAGATGCTGATCTCACCGTGAAAAAGCTGTTCGAACAAGTTTTTTAGTCTTTAGCCAAACATCTTCGAGAAGAGTCATTTGAGAGACCAAAATGTTCAAGGTAAGGCGATTAGAATAACGGTCGGTGAATCAACTATATAGCACTAGGGCGATCTCGGCATCAATGTAGAAGTGAAAACCGTTACCCCTTCCTTCTCACCAACTCGAGTGGGGCCCTGATTAATTGGGTTTTCACATCCTGAGTAGTTTGTACATGGAATTTTCAGAATGTAATGGAATCTGCGTTTTGAATCTACTGGATGATTCTCGGAAGAAAGTCACGGAACCGATTCCTGTGGTATGTATACCGTATACCAAACAGATAACCGAACCGAGCAGGTACGTCGTTGGTCGCATTTTTGGAGGGAACACTGTCTTCACACTTGAAGAATGCCGTCCCCATTTGCACAGCGCAAGTGAACTGCCACTTCAAAAAAACCTGGTGAACAATATGTGATCAAATTACGTACACATATGATCATCCAACAATTGTCAGGACTCTCTCTCAAGGTAAACGCGGTGACTTGTGAGATATGATACCACGGATAGAGCCAGGTTTCCACATTCGTTTTAGGAGAACTTATTCTTCTCAACTCTCAATTCTCAATTCTTCGCAGGCTGACAGATCAGTCCGCTCGTTTCGCACCTGGAAGTTACAACCACATAATATTAAAAACAAGTAAATTCAGAAGTTAGAGGTCTTTCCTAATTTCTCCTTATCTCCGCAAATGACACTTGGTCGTGGTGAAACAAAACCTGTTCTTCATGCACGAGGAAGTGAAGTTTCTTCTCGCAATTATAAAAGGCTATGAATTAATCTGCCTGCACCATAAAACTGGAGCTCATATGCCCAATCAATCAATGTTGTGGGCCACATTTCACTTTGGAACCTCCATAACTCCACAAAAGTACGAGATTTCTTCCGTGACGTGATGGGCTCGTCGTTCTTGTTATCATCAGGCGAACGCAGAGGATCACAGTAAACATGCGATTCACGGACTCGCCCCCTTCGCAGTCCATAGCGACATTGTTTACATAGCATCAAAAGATGTGGTCGAAAAGCTCTTCATTATTTTCCTTTTTTTCTAGAGGGTGCTTACGTTATGTCGCACGAACCAAAGTTCCCTACCGTATACGATAATAACACCTTCAAGGAAAATATTTCACCGATAACATGTTGAAGAGCTTTGATTCAATGAACGATGTAGCCCCTTCTCCGCCCATTTTAAGCCGAGGTTTTACAACATTTCCATGCTTCAGCTGAGCTGTATTCTTATTCGGCTCCGAATGAGCACAAGCACCAAGGACATAAAACTTCATGTCGTGCCTTTACGTCCACCGCTCCACCAGCTGCGCCACCGCTGCAAAGCTGCGTACCTACCAGGTTCCGTTAGCTGTTCGATACGGTAGCATACCACAGGAGGAAATTGGTTCCGTAACTTAATTCCCGGCATCATTCAGTAGATTTCGAATGCAGACTTGAAATCAGCGTTCGAAATCACCTGCCGCGGATATATTACTTCTTAAGCGAACTTGCTACCTGCCCTTGCATGAACAAAACATAAATGAATGGTATCCCATAAAGTGAGCCCATCCCTTTTTCCGTTGGTTTCTAGAATAGTTTCTCAAGACGACCTTATTGAAACCTACGTGCCTCACCTGATTTCACTTTCAAAATCGATATCAGGAGGCATTATATGGGTCCTATGGCCGCTTCGTGACAACAGTAACACCAGGGCGTAACGGCAGAAGATGCCGTAGATAAAAGCAAATGGAGACGGCTGACAAGAACAGCGGATCCTGCAACGGCGCGGCATTAATGCTAGGGGTAGAAGAAGAAGAATAAGTAAAACCAGGGCCATCTGTAGACTGAGCAAAGGCAATCGGTCTGTAAAGATCAAT